GCTGCATTCTATCAAAGCATTTCGATCGTTATCCCAATCGCCTCAAAATGACTGCAATCGGAATCATACGATCAGACAGAAAACAGTTTTCAACGAAAATTCATCGAGTATGATCACCCAGAATGAAGAGTATTCGTGAAAATTTTTTCCAACTATTGGTTTCGTGGAGAAATTCGAGAATTATCTCTCACATTAACAATTTTATTCTTGCAAAACGAGATTGCTGCTTGATTCGGTTGCTGCGAATAAGATCAAGTTTTATCGTTTCATATCACACTAAGTCTCATTCTTCAGTACTTTACAGCTTAGGCCATATTCGGATTTGATGAACCTTCAAAATGAAGAAAATTAAATCAGTCGCTCATGTGCTTAAAAATTCAGGTTGTATACGGTACGACTGGATCCGTAGGATCGGGTGATGATTCTCGAGTCATGTCAGATAAAGTTCAAGTACTTGCCTCATCGATTTATAAAGAATTCGAAACTATGATACAAAAGTCCGGAGAGGATAGTGTCAAAGTGAGAACATGACTCATTTTACACTTGTCATATATTTCAGAATATGTAAATAATCAGTGTCCATGTCTTTGTCATACAAATCTAACATTTCCGAAATGACGTACTTCCCCTCATTCGTGGTTCTCTCAGTTCGAAAAAAACGACAATTACTGTTTCCAATCACGAGATTGTTATAATTCTCGTGCACAGCTCGAATACCGAAATTCCTCAAATAACCAGAAACGAAACCATTTCAAGGCTTATCCTCTAATGAATGTGGAGGTGTGCTATCTTTCAAGACATTAGTGCAAGTCCCGTTGATTTATTACTCTCAGAATTTGATGCCATTAGTGGTGAACGTATTGGAATGTTTGGATTTGGCGTATCTGGAGAAGGAGGAATATTCGGTTGATTTGGAGATGTTGAAAGAGGATAATGAACAGCTGATGACGCAGTACGAACGCGAAAAACAATTGCGTCGTGCTCAGGATCAGGTCGTTGATTTGACTTTGTATTCATTCATTGGTTTGCTCATATTCGGTAAGTGTGAGTAGTTGCACTCGGGTGAATGCGCGAGCAGTGCAACCCTCATTGCTCATTTTCATTCGCTTCTCGTTCTCTGCTTCTCAACTCACCTCGAATTCGCAGCGACGGTTGCTCTCAGTCACTTGAAAATAATTTCAACACTCAATTTTCAAAAAAGAATAGATGAATGATCAGTGAATGTTTGTATGAATTATGGTGAAATTTCAGAAATGCTTGGAAATTGAAGACTCATCAGTGGAGCAGATTCATGAATTGGAAAGTAAAATCGAATCACTGGAATCGATCATGCGAATGCTCGAGTTGAAAGCAAAAAATGCCTCTGATCACGGTACTCTCTTCATACCGATAACGTATCTCTGTGCATTCGGGCTTAAACCCTTGAACCCGAATGCAAAGTCATCTTCCTTTTTCATGGTATTTGATCTCGAGAAATATTCCCAATTTTGTTGTCCATCGACTTCAACACTGTTGCAGTCACTGTATAAATAACACTCAAACTCTGCAGCCAAACTCACTGCTTATCATGTGTTTACCCCCATCAATCAGCCTTTACCCTCATTCGAGATCCTCATTAGCCAGATTTTCCGTTATTTCCTCACAGAAATTCGCAGTCTCAATTAATCTCATCAATTATGATTGCATTGTGATACATTTGTTGAGTGCGACAAGCAAACATTTTCCTTAATTCTTAAAGGTTCCATTCTGATAATATTCACCTCTGCTAACAAATAATTCTGTTTTGTTATATAAAAGCCACTGACTCTGTCTGAATTTCTGTTGGCCATTGACTATCTTAAGGAAAGCTGTGTTATTATTGCCAGTTTGTATTGTGCACAGCAGTAAGCAACTGTGAGCATTACGAGGTATTATTTGGTGGTTGCAACGCAGCTTACGATTCCT